AGAACTTCCTTGGTCAACAAGAACTCTTTTGATCTCCCATTCATCGCATCTAACGCATTCGCCTCAAAGGAGGGTGAATGTCCATCAAGTCATCATTGTGAGGGTGGATGTCAACTACTTCCTTCTTAAAGGAGAAGATTGTGGCTTCTAGCGCATTCACCTCGCCTTTGTCTTCAACATTAGAGAGGTATTCTATATTCAAAATCTGGTGAGTGTGCCTTCTACGGGAGGAGCTAGTCTCCCCACCTTCGACAAATTCATCTACAATAGTATTGAGCATGTGGCACATGGATTTACTTAATTATCCTTGGGACGTTCCCTTAGCTTTAGAGGGTTCAAGATTCTTTGTGTCATCTCACTCGTAAGAGTTAGATTCGTGTGGTCTACTGGTGGAATCACCATTGACATAATTCTCGAGGTGTTGCTCTTGGATCCGCCTCTCGATCTCTTTCTTGAGTTGAAATTGTCCTCAGTGTGGTGTCCTTCGAATTTATGGAGCTTGAACCATCCACCTAGTTTGGGACCCAATACATTTACTTTCAGAGTTTGAGGCATAATGATGTTGTGTTGGTGAAGAACCTCGCACTAGATCTCTTTACAGTTAGTGTTTAGGGGCATGAAGCCCTCAGTCATCTGGGATACTCTCTTGAAAGCAATCTTGTCTTTGATGGAAGAGGTATAAATAATCTTCCTCTAGTGGTGTGAACCTTCAGTGTTGGGAACACACTTATTGATGTCTTGCGCCTTCTTATAAATGTTACTCTTCTCAGCTTTTATGTAACACTCCGACCTGGTGGCCACCTCTACTAGCAAGAGTGTTGGCTTCTAGGCGAGAGACTCATTGAAGTATCCTGTCTTAATTCAATTTTGGAGCGCTGCCATAAAAATTTATTAGTTTTGTAGGATGACCCTGATGGTGGCTTCATTTAAATGGACGAGATAGTCCCTCAATGATTCTAAGGAACCCAATCTTATGTTGACCAGACTAGTAGTGGACGTTTTTCTATGGAGGCTAGCAGAGAACTATTGTACGTGTCTCCTTACCATCTCTTGATAGCTAGCTATGAAATCTCAGGAAAGATCCATATACCATTGTAGGTCGGCATCCCTGAAGGTTTCAGACAGTAATTTGCACTTTAGAGAGTCAGGTGCTCTGATGACGGCCATCTGAGTGTTGATGGAGGCAACATGCTCATAGGGTTCAGGTGCTTCCCATATTCTGTCTGTAGGTGGATGGGGATCCAACACCTCCATATCTTATGGGGGTTGGTCTCTTATTGACACTGTCATATGTTGTCCTCTAGGGTTTGATTCTAACGACATAGTTCATCCATGGCGGCATGCATCTTCGCTAGGATATTGGCGTCAGTACTACCGCTTGCATTGTCAGGCATAGGTGTTGAGGCTCTCCTGTTGGCTATGGCTGAGAATGGCTAGGAACAATATTGGATGGTAGCAACGAGTATGGTAATTATAGCGAATAAGGTGTGACCCAAGTTATTTTTACCGAGGCAAAATTGTACTGATAAAAAAGTACAGGTGTACATGGTGTCTCTACGAGGGTATGAGATACTTAGAGGCCTTAGTAGGTTTATAATAGTTTAGGGTGTTAGGGACTTGCCTGCTGCAACGAGAAACTCTGATGATGTTACAGTGTTTACGGTTATCTGAGAGGCCAACTCACGTAAGGTAAGAGGCTCTGTATATAAATGTGTTGCTTTAGATATTGTGTATCAGTTATCATCTATCTTCTCTCCAGTTAAGGGGGGAATATTTATAGAGACCTTTGGGCTTAGGATTAAGGAAAGTCTTAGAGGAAGTAACCTTTCCCCCTAGGCTAGGGAAAACTGTTGACTACCTACATTTTAGGGAGTCGTGGTATGAACCTCTTATTATATTCTCATATTACAAATGTGAAAGTAACATTATTATCTATATCCCTTGCCCCAAGGGAAAGTCCACATGTTCTATGAAGATGTCATGCTAGGCGAGGACCCTTGAGTCGCCTCTATTTACGACTCTCACAAATATAAAATTACAAATGTGAAGTTTGATTTCCCTCGTTAGGCTCAAGTAGAATTATAATGAGTTTATTAGCTCCTTCATGAATCATTTCACTGATAAGACATCTTAGAACAATAAACTAAACCTAGTCACGAATCCACGCACATTGGTAATAGATCTCAAGCCATGTTATTTTTCTAACTCATTAGAATGATGACCATCTGATATGTTAGATTATCTCGGGACACTAGAACGGTGACCATCTTATACGTAAGATGATCTCGGAAAAATGGAAAATGGAAAATTCCACATATCAATAAAGGAATTTCTATAGAGAAGAATAAAGACTAGACCTGATTTTCCATGATGATTGTGACCTAAGAAGAGGACATAACGATCGAGGGAAGCATGTAGACTAATTTGAGATTTTTACTTAACTTAAAATAGTTTTCACTTAAATCCCAAAATCATCAAAATAAGCTTTTTAATTCCTACCACCATCGATCGACATCGACCACCACTATGCCCACCATTGGTCATTTCTATATCCACCTTCAACTACCAATCCAACAACCACCCATTCCAATTATGAACATCATTTCCAATTACTATTTTGACCACTGATAACCTCCACTTCGACCACTACCACCCACTAGTATGTCCATTGTAAGTCACCCCTTAATTCCACTCAATCTAACAGCCAACAGTCATTCTGACCACATCCAAATACCACTTTGATCACCCATCTGACCATCACCCATCACTTCTTTAATTTTTGATAATCAATCAGACAATTACTTTGAGTATTAACAATCACCATTTTGACCCCCCACTATATATTGGGAAACAATTGTGAGTTCTAAGTTTCACATTGCTTAGAAAAGTAGAGGTTAAGCACTTTATAAGTGAGAGAACCCATACACCCATCACCTTAAGGTTTTGGGTGAATACGTGGTGTCTCTCTCACTTGTTTGGGGGAGTCTTTGACCTTTAGGTGAGTGTTTGATCCAATGTGAATGTTTCCCCCTCATGATGACCCAACAGTGGTATTAGAGCCTGGTTCGAGTAAGGCACCGACTCCTTGTGTCGAAAGTCTTATTGACATGGTGGTTAGGCGGCGTGTTCCGTTAAGGTTCCCATGAAGAGGTAAGGGTGTCTTTGAACGGCGGTACAAACATGTGGATGAAAAAGCTTCCGCTTGAGGGTGATCATAGTAGACAGACTCGCACTTGAGAGGGAGATTGTTGGGAAACAAGTGTGAGTTCTAAGTCCCACATTGCTTAGAAATAGAAAAGTGGAGGTTAAACACTTTATAAGTGAGAGAATCCATACACCTATCACCTTAAGATTTTGGGTGAATATGTAGTGTCTCTTCCACTTGTTTGAGTGAGTCTTTGACCTTTAGGTGAGTGTTTGATCCAATGTGAATGATTCCCCCTTATAATGGCCCATCACTATAATCATCGTTGATCATCACTTTCTCCTACGATTACCAATTTGGCCACCAGCGACCATCACTTCATCCACCTTCAATCACTAATACTACCACCATCCCCAACCACCATTGATCACCATTACATCCATATACGATCACCAATCCAACTACCCTCTCACTTTCCATACAAACACCGACAATCACCCATATAACAAATACTCTAACCATCGATAATCACCAATTCTATAATTATCAATCAACACTCAATTCATCTCCAATTATCAAATCAATCGCCACCGGCTATCACTACAGCCAAGTTAAACTATCACTCTAACATCTGACTATCGTTTTAAGAATCATAGACGACCTCCACTTACAATCCCTATTATTAAGTTTATCTTTTTAATAATTAGTTTATGTTTATTTCAAAAAAAACAAAACAAAAACAATTATCCAAAGCTCTCAAGGGTTACATCTTAGGTCTAGTTCTCACCCCATTAATTATATAGAATCTCGGTCCCATTAGAAGGTGGAGACAGATACTTTTATAATAATAGAGCCTATAAATAACCTACAGGCCGAAATAATAACAATGATATAAAAACCATTTGAATAATCATCTCATTCCCATTCTTATTTATTTTAAGTGGGCCATATACTCCATGTTTCGTATAAATATCAGTATTCAACCTTCTTTGCTTCACCAAAATATTAACTCATCACTGATCACTCATAAATGTCCTAAGAGCTTCAATTTAAGCCATTACAACCCCCTCTTCACAAAATTATCCTCTCTCACTTTACGGTACGTACACACATATACATCTCTATTAAATATACTGTGTCCATGTAAATTCATTATTACTACTTTATTAGGTAAAAAATATCCATTGCTTTAGCTTCTCTACTTTGATAAATATCAAAGTAAATATCTCTGCTTTAATTCTCCATCATATAACTCTTAAATATTGCTTAAAGACTAAGCTCCTTTGTGTTAGCACTTTCCTCTTCTCACTTACAATATTCTCCTAGTATTTACTTGTCATTTTTTTTATAATACCAATTTTTTTAAATTTTAATAGTGTAACAAAGTTATATCCTTTCAACTTTATGTCTAATGATGTTACAATTACAAAACAATTTTTTTTTTTAATCATTATCACCAATATGTAGTTGTATAAAGACTAATAACTCATATTAATTTTAAAGGAAAAATATTTTTAAATATGTATTAAATTTTACTAAGTTAACATACAAATATCAATGAAAAATTTAGTGACAATAAAAAAACTTATAAATATAAATGACATTTAGTTATAGTTTTTTTACATTTTATTAAAAAATTTCGTTTATTAATGTATATTTTAAAATTCGAAGAGTGTTTGTGATATTTAACCTACTTTATTAGATGAGTATAATTTTAATTTTAAATCACCCAAAAAAAATTGTAACAATTTGTTTGTAAAGTAATGCCCCATTATGAGATGTTAAAGTTATATAGTGCAATTGATGAGACTAATTAAATATATAAAAAATGATTTGGTCAACTTGCAGAAGAAAAATGATTATCCCAGTGGCAGCAACATCATCCTCTGTCTGCAAACAAGAATTGCCTCTAATAAATTTCCAAAAGGGACTGACCAAGATGGAGTCATTATTTCACAATAGAAACAAAGATAAGGTGGTAGTGATAATGGGGGCCACAGGTACTGGAAAGACCAAATTAGCCATAGATTTGGCCAAACATTTTCAACCATCTGAAATTGTTAATTCAGATAAAATACAAGTTTATAAAGGTCTTGACATAACAACAAATAAGGTAACAGAACAAGAATGTGATGGGGTCCCACATCATCTCTTAGGTTTATTTGATCCTACAACAAATTTCACTGCCAATGATTTTTGTTACCATGCTTGTTCAGCTATTGATTCAATTGTGCAAAAAGATGGGTTGCCTATTATTGCTGGTGGCTCAAATTCTTATTTAGATGCCTTGGTGAATCATTGTAGTGAATTTAGGTTAAGGTATGAGTGTTGTTTTCTTTGGGTTGATGTTGCACTTCCGGTTCTTCACTCTTCGCTTCAATCGCGCGTGGATCGCATGATTGAAGCTGGTCAGGTAGATGAAGTTCGTGAATTTTTTGATCCGTTGGGCGATTATACTAAAGGGATTCGAAGAGCTATTGGAGTGCCTGAATTTCATGATTTTCTTATGGCGGAAGCAAATTCAGCGAATGAGAGAATTAAAATGAGGCTTCTTGAAGATGCTATTATTAGGGTTAAGATTAATAATTGTACTCTTGCAAATCGACAACGAGAAAAGATTCAACGGTTAAACGGAATGTGGAAAAGGAGCATGCATCGTCTTGATGCTACTGAAACGGTTATTAGAAGTGGAACACGTGCTCGTAAGGAAGCATGGGATGATCACGTACTCTCAAAGAGTCTTGTGATCCTCTACAACTTTCTTTACAGTGAAACTCGTGTTCGCTCAAGAAATGTATCACCAAAAAATATAATTGACACCCTTTCTGGATCACAGCCAGCACTAGCATTATCAGTTGTTGCGGCGGCAACCCACTAAAAGCAGTGGGATGAGAATCTACATACAAAGGTTGCACAGTTGACATCTTCAGGGATATTATTGAATTCACATAGTTTTTGTTTTTGCTTTTTATATTTTTTAGGTTTAATATCCTTTTTAGTCATGTATCTTAACTTTGAGATTCATTTTGTTCTCTTAACTTTAAAAATGTCTATATTGCTCCCTTAATTCTTCAAAACGTTTCATATTAGTCATTTTTGTCTAATTAACGACGAATTTAGCGATTGTTTTTTGAATTTTTTCGTCGCTATTAGGATAAAAAGAATTAATATAGAACATTTTGATGTGTTAAAGGATTAATATAGACTATTTTTAAATTAAAGAATCAAAATGAATCTCGAGATTAAGATAAATACCAAAAAGAATATTAAACTATTTTTTACTTTTATTTAGGGTGATTTTATAAATATATAATTTTTTATTCAACTTGACCGGTTATATGAGAAATGAATTTTTTGTTTTAGTTCTTTTGGGTTACATTGAAAATGAAATACTAGAATGTAATACATATAAATTTCTATGAATTAAATATGTTAATGGAACATAGAATATACGATTCTTACTTTAATTTCTTGGCTAATATTGTTAGATGGTTTACACGATAAATTTTCAATTTGAATGGATAATTTATTTTGCAACATGAGATGTGTTGTGTAACTTGACTTTTAAGTTATTTCACAAATTGAAAAAATTTAAATAAAAAAAAAAAAAAAGAAGATAAAAATAATTTTGTGAAAAGAGTGCGTTGATTGAATAAAGAATGCTAAATGGAGAGAGAGTTGACTTTCAAGTTATTTCACAAATTGAAAAACTAAAGATAAAAGTAATTCTGTGAGAGGAGTGTGTTGATTGAATTAGGAATGCTAAAGGGAGAGAGATATATGTTTAAAATACCATAACTAACTAACTATAATATATATGTTATGACATTTTCTTGTGTTGCTAGTCAAACTTGCAACACTTTGAAATTGCCACTAAAACCAACATACAAAAATTCTGAATTACATTCTAATGCTCTTCCTAGATTTCCTAAGCTTTTCATTATCAGTATCCCTTAACTTCTTCAAATTAATCTTGCTTCAAGGGTTTAGTTAGAATCTCTGCAAGTTGTAAATTAGTCTTGCAATATTTAATTTTTAATATTTTTTCGTCAACTTAGTCTCTTAGGAAATTCTATCTTCTATCTATGTCCTTACTCCTACCAGGATTTATTGGATGATTTGCTAAATCAATTGATAATTTTTTGTCCACTAGCAACTTGATCTTCACAAATGTTACTTACATTCAACTCGTCCAATTGCATTTTAATCCACAATGTTAGGAAGACAACATAAGAGGTTACAACATACTCTGTCTCACATGATGATAAGGTCACAACTCCTTGCTTATTTGAGCCCCATGAATCTGGAGCAGCTCTAATCATGAGTAAGTATGTTGTTGTACTTTTCCTATTATCTTGATCACCACTCTAATGTGAGTCATAATAACCATAGAGTTTTCTTCTGATGCAAGAAAACTCAATGCTTTATGTTCATAATTTCTATTCTTAGAAAGTAAGCCAAATTTCATAAGTCTTATATTTCAAACTCATTCTCCATGTTGGCCTTGAAATTTGAGAATCCAACCTCATTAGAATTTGTCACTAATAGATCATCCACATAGAGAAATATGATGATTTGGCCTTTATCATTTGATCCTTTCACACACACTTCATGTTCAGATGAGCACTTATTGAAACCTAAATTTAGAATGAAGTCATGAATCCTCTTGTTTCATGCCCTAAGTGTTTGCTTCAAATATATACAATGTTTTTCTCAGTCTGTGTACAATTTCTTCTTGGCCTTTTATCTCAAATGTGGCGACTACTTGACATAGACATATTCTTATAGTAGTTCATTGAGAAAGGTTGAGTTCACACCCAGTTGATAAATTTTCCAACCTTTATATGTTGAAATGGAATCAGCAAGTCTTATTATTTCAAGCCTAGCCGTGATGCATAAACTTCATTGAATTTAATTCAATCCTTTTGAAGAAATCCTTTTTCCACTAATATTTCCTTGTATGTGGCCATTTCACCATTTGGTCTCAAATTCATGTTGTGAACCCACCTTACACTATAGTTTTCTTTCCTAAATGCTTGATTAGTTCCCAAGTTTTATTCTTCTTAATTGACCTGAGCTTTTTCTTCATGACATCTTGTCAGTTTTCATCTTTCATGGCTTGATTGTGATCAATAGGTTTTGAATCATCCATCGTGGCTTCTTCAATCAGGTCTCCATTATCACTTATGGATTGACTAAGGAATCTTTCACAAGAAATAAATTTACCTGTTTTTGGTTCTAGCCCTTGTTGATCTTCTCACTTCTTGAGTGCATCCCTAATTTCTTGGTCATTTCATGTGTGAATATATGTGCTTGGAGGTCATCAATTTTGTATCTGAAGGTTTGATGACAACAACATAAGGCAATAACTTTCAACCCTGATGATAACCAAAGCATATTATAACTCATCAGCAAGAGGATTCAAGATCAAGTGACTATACAATTAGAAACTATCTAAAAAAATCTTGAAGTTTCTTATAAAGATGTGAAAGATCGCCAGGTCATGTCCATCAGTGTGTCTGAGTAAACCAAGTATTGTAAAAGTAAGGTAGTAACTTAAGAGTACTAAGGAAACACACACACACACACACACACACACACACACACACACACACACAAACACAAACACATGCACACGCGCACGCACACACACACACAGTTAATACATTCCTCAAAATTCTTTCATCCTTAAAATGAGTTTCTAAGCCAAAAACAAGTAATTAGAAAGTTGTTCAAAACATGTTTCAAACTTTTTAAAACCTTCTAATCGATTGGAAAAACTTTTCTAACCAGCCAATCGATTGAAACACTATGTTAATTCGTTAAAAGAGTGCTAATCAATTACAAAATCAATAAGGACAACATATTAATGACTTGCAACAATTCTATATCCAAACTTTTCTTTTTTTGGCCTTCCATTCAATTATATTGGAGCTGTCTAATCGATTGGAGCATTTTTCTAATCGATTAGATAGCCAATTCGGCCCATGGTTTATTTCAATTATTGGTTTTTCCAACTACTATATAAGAGAGGCACGTCCTCACATTAAACCACTCCAATTTCCAACATTTCATAGTTCTTTGGAATTTATCTCTCCCCCTCTCTTCAAAAAATATTTTTATTCACTTCTGATTGCCTTAGCTCTTGTAAGTGAAGCTTTACCTGTGAGAAAGAAATTTTTGTAAGTGTTTGTGTTGGTCGTTTATATTCTCAAGGGTGTGATACCTTTAAGAGAATGCTTTTGGTTCTTGAGATAAACCTGTCATAAAATCTCTGTTCTTGGTTTATTAAGCTTTGCGAGAAAAAGCTTTGTTTTGGTTATTGAGATCAGCCATAAATCTCTAAATGGTTCATTTAGGTTAGCCTAGGATTAAAACTATCATTGGTTGGTGTCATACCCCAAAATTTATCCTCAGATTCTTAGATCTTTTTTCATATCTTTTTAAGTCAGTCATTTTTCCATTTACTTAGTCAAACATTTCATTGATCATTAATCATGCATTTTTTTATTCTATGTCATTCTTGATAATTATCTTGATTTATTTAGAATTAACTTAGTTTAATTATAGGTAATTTAAATTTAATTAATTTAAGTTTATTTATTTATTTTTTATTTATTTATTTTTACTTTTTTTTTTTTTTTTAATTTTCTTTTAAGTTCAATTTTTAATTCTTAGTTTAACTTCATTTAGTTTAGTTTAATTAGTTTTCATTAATAGTTTTCTTTTATTTAAAAAAAAACCATTTTAAAATATAGAATCCAAATTTCTTATATTTATAATACAATACAAATTTGCAAAAATGAGAAGTCAATTGACCCCACCTTTCCTAAATCACTACACTCCAAGCAAAAGGTTTTGTTACAATCTTTACACCAAAAACACTTCAAGGTACAATCTTTACACCAAAAACATAAACCTGCAATTGCCTACACAACACAAAACTTCCAAAACTGCTACACAACATCACTACACAACAAGAGAAATAGTCCAAAAATAACTTGCCTACATACAACACGCCTGTACCACCACACCTTGACCATCCTGCAATACCAACAAAATCCTACTGTAAAAATAACAACACAACATTACAAGATAAAATACTTGTACCTTGAAACTTAGAGAAGAGGTTTTTGAGTGATTTTAAAGAGAAAACATAATAGATTGAATGGAAAAAAGAGAAAACAAACCCAGTTCACAGAGAAAGAAGAATCCAGCCACAAAAACCTTAATCCTTCATATACACCAGAAAAGCCTTAGCAAATCCTTAACTTCAAAAAACACAGAACCTCCACAAGCCTTCATCTTTATAACATTCATTGCTTGTAAGTCTGCTCATATTGAAGAGAATCTCAAGATAATGTTCAGAAAACAGATTTGAGTAACCACTTGATTCATTCCGAGAGTGGTTATAATACCACTGCATTTAGAAAAAACCATTCATAAAACAATAACAACATTTGCAGCAGAGGAAAGGAGAAGAAGAATTTCAGAGTAAAACGATAAGTATACCTTGATTTCGAGCTTCTATACAAACCGCCATCGAGGTAGTTTTTTTCCTGCATCTTCTCTACCTTGTTCCATTATACTTCATTTTGTTTCATTTGGCTGAAGAATCATAGCAGAGAGAAATCATGAATGAGAGGTAATATCAAGATGAACTGTGTCAAGAGATGATGATGATTTCATGATACATTTTCCGTGTTCTTCGTAGTTCGTGAGTGTTTTTCTTCGAGAAGAGAGAGTCAATCGTTTGAAGATAGTGAATCGCGAGAGATGAGAGAAAAATAGAGATTCTTAAGAGAGAGAGAGAGAGAAAGAGAGAGAGGGGGAGAAAGATATTATGATGAGTGAGAAGAAGTGCTTTTGAGAAGCAGA